AATCCGGACCAGAACGTAAATTGCTGTAAAGATAAAAAGTAGAAGATTAAACACACATATTTTACAACCAATAAAATTTTTTAAAATCTATAAAGCCAATCAATGAATATACTGCCAACTTAGGAAGAAAAATAACCAGGCACAGGATAAATATGCGCATACAACCTTTTTAGTGCAATCACTAGCCCAGTAGTTATAAAATCAACCTAAGGAATAAAATGAAAATCAGTATATCAAGAAATTTAAAAGCCAAAAATGCATAATAATAGTAATAATTATAAAATAGTTACCTATGGTCCACAAATAACCTTCTTTGATTGTGTTGCCACAATATTCACGAGTAAAAAGCAGTGTGGATAAGTTTAAAATGCTGGAGCTTTATAATAAGGTAATCTGGTCATGTGATTGCACCTTACACATAGAGTATACCAGATGACCCAACAGCTGAAAAAAAGAGAATTATATTGGATACATACTCTTAAGACTGCAACCCCATACGGCCTGAATGAGCATGTTGACTGGTGTGCAATATAATCTTGTTGGTATAGCATGTATTTTTTTATATATGGACTGTTCTACTATGTTTAAATTTGTACTGTTTCTTTATCCCCTAATGGCAACCCTAGTGGGCAATCCTATCTGGTAGTCTGGCTGTTTCTCCAAGCGCCTTAATGACCTGTCCATTCCCAAGAAGATGAATGACATTGTTATAGCCCGGATGAAGGCTTCCTCTGCTACTGGGCCATTGACCATTCAGTTATTGACCTAGCCCAGTGATCTCCAACATGGCGCCCATGGGCACCATGACATTCACAGAGCTAATCCTGGCTCTCCTACAACTCACCAGAGCATAGGGTTGCTGACTCCTGCTTGGGACATTCCTAGAGATTTGAAAACAGTGTCTGGGAATGGTAGAGTTTGGAGATGGGAGGGACTTCTGTGGGGTATAATGCCATAATTATAGGGTCATGGGCGGTATATAAATCTCATGTAAGTAAGTAAATAAATAAATAATGTCTGCCTTCCAAAGTTGCCATTTCCTCTAGGGGAACTGATCTCTGCATTCTGAATATCAATTGAAATTCTGAGAGAACTCTAACCCCACCTGTTGGAAATATGTGTGCTGCAAGGTCTAAATCCAGTCATCATAGGGTTAATGTGTTCACCTTGTGTGCTATTGATTAGCCTGAACTGGAAGCTGGCCCGTAGCTAACGTGGGGGCCACGTGGCCTGGCCTCCTAGTCTTTCTTCTGGGCCCCCTCCTTTCCGGGCTGTTCCCAAAGTGCCCTGACATGCCACCTGCATTGTGCTTTGATTTAATTAGCTGGCGCCCCCCCCCAAGGCCCCTTCCCAAAACATTCCCTAGCTACGGGGCTGCCTGGAAGGGAACCTGGCACAAAGCCAATGGGGAGAAAGCCCGGGAAACTCGAGCCTACTTACTAACAATCACTGGTTAATGTATTTAGGTGATTTCCTTCTGGGGGTCAAGAAGAAAGAAGAATCTCTATTACCAACTTGTCTGTCTGTTGTAAAGTGCAGCAAGCATGTAGTCTTGTTGTTTTGTAGATTTCCCCGTGTACCCTTCTCTTTAGAAATATTTTTACACCGAAAGAAAATGCCTCCTCTCCAATGAACAAAGATCCATTGCAAGCTCTGAATATGGCCAAGGAGTACCCATTAAGAAACAGTCTCCTGCATTATAGAAAGATGCTTGGACTGCAGCTTCTTTTTTTATATAATAGATTTATTAAAAATTTCACCATGCCTATACAACCATATCCCACAAAACTCCACCAAAAATAATTATAAATACAAACCACTACTTCTATCTGGAGGGCCTGGCGGGAGCTGGTCCATGGGGTCGCGAAGAGTCGGACTCGACTGTGCGACTGAACAACAACAACTTCTATCCATAATCAAGTACAACACAGAGAGAAAAATCCAAAATATACCCATTACCTCATAATTCCTTAAGTCTAAAAATTCAATAACTCCTTGTAATGTATATTAGAGGAGACAAATTCCTTATCTTGCAAAAATTTAATAGGAGACCAAATTGTTTGAAACGTTTTACAATAAACTTCGAAATTCTGAATACCTGTAGAATAATCTATTTTACCCAGCTTAAAGTGATTCCAAATAGAGTCATACCAATTTCATATTGAAGGCCCTTTCTTCTGTTTCCATTTCTTAGCAATCTCTAACCTCGCAATTGCTAACAAAGTTGTTACTGTACCCAGCTTGACTTTATCTACTTGTTCTGTTAAGCCAATTTCTAACAGAATATTTTCTGGATTTTTTGGGATCTGTTGACCAACTATTATCTCAATTTGACATGATACTTTATTCCAAAACCTTTGAATAGCGGGATACAGCCAAAAGCAATGCATGAAATCTTCCGTCGAACCACAACCTTTCCAAAAATTTTCACTCAGATTTTTTTGAAAATTTAGCTATTCTAATTGGAGTAAAACAGCTTCTATGTCAAATCTTAAATGAATTAAAATAGATTGTTGAAATCTTGGAGTTAAAACTTGGGGCCTTTCAGGCTTTTTCAAAATCATCTTTAGTGATTCTACCATCACAATCTGCTATCCATGCTTTTTCACTGAAGCTTTTCTTGACGGTGAAATAACTGAGTCTTGAATGAGGGGTTCTTAATCCAGTAGTCACACTGAGGCAGGGAGAAAACGCAACAACCCTAAGACAACTTTATTGTGCCATGGCCAAAGAATCATTCCTAACTACAAAAGTTACAAAAGCATTTTTCTTCCTTCTTCTCCATGAGACCTGCCATTTATACTTCAGTTTTTTGTCATCTTTACATCATCTCCATTCCACCACTTTACATAACATTGCAACTCAGTACATCCAATTGTCGACAGAAGTTTGCTAGCATAGCTAATAGTGTACTGCACATGTCTAAGAATATTTCCCCATATTCTTGGGGTCTTATCTACTGATAAAGAAGCTGTGCGTGCTCAGCTGGCTGAAACTGCCTCTGAAGCTTCCAGCTATTCTGCCAGCTCCTAGGGTACAAGAGTTCATTCCTAAGTAAGCAGAGCAAGAAGAAGAAGAGATTGGATTTATACCCCGCCCTTGACTACCAAAAGGAGTCTCAGAGCGGCTTACAAACTCCTTTCCCTTCCCTTCCCTTCCCCACAACAGACACCCTGTGAGGTAGGTGGGGCTGAGAGAGCTCTGATAGAAACTGCTCTTTTTCAGGAGCAGCTCATCAGAGCTACGGCTTGCCCAAGGTAATCCAGCCAGGTGCAAATGGAGGAGGGGGGAATCAAACCCAGTTCTTCCAGATTAGAGTCCGCGCACTTATAGGGTTGCCAAGTCTTACCTCGGCTTTAGTGGGGGGAGTCCAGGACCCTGCTGGGACTCTTCTAGCGCATGCAGTTTGTGCACGCACCGCAATGATCCCACCCGGAAGTGATGTTATCGCGTCGGGCACATTGGGTGGGGCCACAATCATTCGAGGGGAAACCACAGAGTTTTCCCTCGAATGATAGAGCGCCCCCCCCGCAATGTGCTCGATGCAATGTCACCTCCTGGTGGCGTCATTGCGTCAGGCACGTCGCACTTTGGGGGCGGGGTTCCCCCCGGCAGCCCAATCCAGGCCGGCGGGGAACGGGCCTCTCGAGCGGGGGTTTCCTCGTCCCCCCCAGGGGGACTTGGCAACCCTACGCACTTAACCACTATACCAAACTGGCAAACAACATCATAAACTCTATCTGACAAAGTCTGCGTGCACATGAAGGCTTACATCTGTATCGTGAATAAAACTTTGTTGGTCTTAAAGGTGCCGCTGGACTCAAACTTTGTTCTGTTGCTTCAGACCAACATGGCTACCCCACCTAAATCTATTATAAAATGGTGTTAGCCAGGGCTTTTTTGGTAGAAAAAGCCCAGCAGGAACTCATTAGCATAATAGGCCACACCCAACATCAGAAACTCATTAGCATATTAGGCCATACCCTGACATCACCACTTATTAGCATATTAGGCCACACCCCCATGCATTCCCCAGGCAAGCCGGCCCTTGGACAGGCTGGGGAAGGCACGGGGAGGCAATTAAATGCCTCCCCGATCCTTCCAGGGGGCCCCTGGCCCACCTGGGGGGTCGCTCTCCAGGCCTTCCCACACAGATGTTTTGACTGTAGTAGGCATGGCCAACTCTGAAGCCAGCCAAACTCCGTTCCTGTGTGTTCCTGCCCAGAAATAGCCCTGGTGTTAGCTATGCTAAAGGACATTTTTTCCTTCCCTCCCTTTTGTGATTGGGCCCAGCATGCCACAGCAGCCATTTTGTGATTGTCCCCAGTGGCAGCCATTTTGTAGTGGTGTCCACTCCTCACTCTCAAAAGGCCAAAAGTTTCCATAGGGTTAGTAAAAGTGGGAATCTCAGACTATCACTATTGCATGGGGGAGGATTTCCCAATCCATTGTCCCTCCTTGCATTTCCTCACAGCCCTCAGTTGATAATTCACACTTTTATAAAGTGTGTGAGCCTTTCTCATATTCTATTTTGTTGTTCCAATCCTTAGAATGATCCTGTATGGTTGCCAACCTGTAGTCATATATCTCAGATTGAAAGGCTAGTGCTAGGAAGCAACACCTCCAAGGATTTCTAGTTGTCCTCCATGGGTTTTTTGTGTGTATGTCCTGCAACCTGCAGAGCAGCTTCTAATAAAATCTTGGCAAAAACTGATGATTTAAGGTTTGTGTATTGCAGCCCAATCAGTGCACAAGATGAAATCCAGTGAGTGTTTTTTAAGAGCTCTCCCTCCCTTGTTCTAATCTTTGGTATTGTTTGAAATCCTTTCCACTGCCTGAGAAGGTGGGACTACTTTTTCTCCTGGCCCACTTCCAAAAAGGTGCTGGTCTATGAACCTCAGCCCACAGAGCTGTCAAGGACTGAAATTCAGTGCAACTCTATCTCAAATGGACCTTGAACTTCAGCAGAGTATTTAAAGATACCCAGTGTTCGGGTTACAGGGGCCTTTGAGCAGACTCACCATGTCAAACAGAGAAGGGATTTGGGTTTTCGTGCTGATCTTTGCTGCGTGGGTAGCCGAAGGTAAGATTTTTAAATGATCAGAAACTCACTAGGTTAATTTTTTTTTTTTTGCTCTCTGTTGCAGCAACGGAGCAGAGAAGAAAATGGCATTGTTTGGAGAAGGGTTTGCTAAGGGTGAGACATGAAACTACTACCCTCAGGATCATGATACAGGAATCTGGTAGCAGCTTAACAAAATTTATTTCAGTGTGAGTTCTCATGAGTCACAGATGCCCAGAAAACTACATGCATCGGGCTGGCTTTACTATTAAGCAAGGGTATTTTACCCAGCCTGATGGATATAGACAAAGGGTTATAAAGGCTTTTTAAAAAATTGTTTGAATATAACTTTTAAAAGTATTGTTATATTTATTTATAATCCACCTTCCGGTTCAAAAGAACACCCGAGTTTGCTAACAAATATGAAACCCTATGATAATACTTCAAATAAAGAACTCCTAACTAATCAAGGCTCCCCAAGCAAAAGGCAGCACCTGTGGGGCTGAGCAGGTGGGGGCTGAGGCTTAGCGAAATTGCAAAATCTCCTCAGGCGAAAAGGGGCCAAAGGCTGCACATAAACTAGCTCATTACATAAATGTGTTTTGTCCAGCCTAATCCGAATCAAGTTCAGTGGAAAGTAAACTCTAATTCTGTTCCTGCAGATCAATTATGGTCACAGGCTTATTAAAGTTTAGAGCTTTGTAGAGTTAGGGAATTTAGGGCAATTGGGCATCAAATATACTTGGGGGAGGCAAAGAGCAGTGCTGTTTGCAAAAGGGATCGGGAATGTTCCTATGTGGAAATCAACTTGGGGATCCTTCTTATGAGGAAGATTACATTACCCAGGTTGATTTCCACATCTTCCCCATAAGGAGTGTTCCCAGGTTGATTTCCATATCGGAAGTCCAGGCCAACCTCCAGGTGGGACCTGGAGTTCTCCTGGACTTACAACTGATCTTCAGACTAGTGCGCAGACTCTAATCTGGGAGAACTGGGTTTGATTCCCCACTCCTCCACTTGCACCTGGCTGGGTGACCTTGGGCAAGCCATAGTTCTGATAAGAGCTGTCCTTGAAAAACAGCAGTTTCTCTCAGAGCTCTCTCAGCCCCACCTACCTCACAGGGTGTCTGTTGTGGGGAGGGGAAGGGAAAGGAGTTTGTAAGCCGCTCTGAGACACCTTTGGGTAGTGAAGGGCGGGGTATAAATCCAATCTCTTCTTCTTCTTCTTCCTGGAGAAAAGGGTGTGGCTATTATACAATGGTACTTCCTCCTTAAATATATTCCCTCTCAATCTGTTGTTTAGCAAGGCTAAACAAGTTTCTTCCAGCTAGTCCCACACTCCTTACCAGCTTCTGTTTGCAGGATCCCTGCCGTCCTGTGACTTGATGCCATCTTCAATACTCTAAAAAAAAAAGGCAACTGAGGTAAAACCTGACCGTAAAACCATGCAAAGTCGAATTCTTCTTACTTGATCTGTCAGTAAACCAGAAGAAAACCAGGATCGATATCATACAGAGCAAAAATTCAGAAGTCCCTCCATTTTTAAATGAAAAGTATAAAAAGATCCTCAAGACTCAGTAGGGTTGCCAGGTCCTACCTGGCCACCAGCAGGGGACAGGAGGGCAGGGTTTCCAGATCCAGGTTGGGAAACTTCCTAGAGATTTGGGACTGTAGCCTGGGGAGGACAGGGACCTCAGTAGGGTACAATGACACAGAGTCCACCCTCCAAAGCCTCCATTTTCTCCAGGGGACTTGATCTCTGTAGTCTGGAGATGAGCTGTAATTCCAGGGGGTGGTCCCTAGGTCCCACCTGGAGGCTGGCATCCCTATTTTTGGAGTAAACGTACGAAGCAGGAAACCAGCATGATCCTGTCCGTGTGTTGTTTCTACATGTCCATGTTGGCACAGGGGTTGCTTGCAGAAATTTCAGATTCATTCAGAGACTTTTACAAACTACGCCTTTCAGAACAATTAATACAAAAGGAGAAGAAAAGGTGAAAGGAGTTGTTTGTGATGTATGGAATGAAAGGCAATTAGCAGTGCATTCCTTCTGCAGAGTTACACCCTTCTAAACCCATTGACTTCAGTGCACTTACAAAGGAGTCACCTCCTTTTAACATTTCATTGCAAATGATGCAGAGAAAGCTGACTAAGGAGAAGGTGGAGTAGGCTGAGATGCCCATAGAATTGCCAGCCTCCAGGTGGGACCTGGAGATCTCCCAGAACTGCAACTCATCTCCAGATCACAGAGATCATTTTGTCTAGAGAAAGTGGCTCCTGTGGAAGGTAGACTCTATGGCATTATACTCCACTGAGGCCACCTCCTCCCCAAATCCTTCCACTCCCCAAATATCCAGGGATTTCCCAACCTGGACTTGGAAACCCTGGTTCAAAAAGTTAAGGTTTGGGGAAGGGAAGAGGGGCCCTTGTCAGGAGGGTGCCAGGACTCAATACAGGGCACACATCGAACAGGTGCAAGAACTGAGTGGGTTCTTGCTACCCTTTTGGCACCAGGAAGTCTCTCAGGTCCTGAGCGATGGTTGCCATCTGGCCGGGAAAACATGCCCTAGCCTTTTTCTAGAGGTCTGAGATGCAGAAATTAGCCAGTAATGCATGGAGCAAAATAACTGATTTTTCTCCAAACGATCAAGATCATTTCCCCTGGAGAAATGGATGCTTTGGAGAGTGGACCCTATGGCATCATACCATGCTGAAGTCCATCCCCTCCTCAAACCTCGCTCTCCCCAGGCTCCATCCCCCAAATCTCCAGGTATTTCCAAACCCAGACATGGCAACCCTAGCTTCAATGCTGAAGAGACTGTACATGGGGAACTTCTGAAGTTGACGCCACACTAAAGTTGCCAACTTCGGCATGAGAAACTCCTGGAGATTTAGGGGGCAATGCCTGGGAAGGGTGGAGTTTGGGGAGTGCTGGGAGCTCAGTGGGGGTGTGAAACCATAGAGTCCACCCTCAAGAACTACCACTTTCCCCAGAGGAGTTGATCTCTGTATTCTGGAGATCACTTGCAATCCCAGGAGAACTTCAGGTCTCACCTGGAAGATGCCAAAGATAATAGGGAATCCTTAGCATACAAATATAGCCACAAATAACACCCACCAAGGGAAGACCATCAACGATTCACAACTATATATGATCAAAACTGTATATTACATTTATTAAAGTACAAGGATGGTTTAGTGGTCATAACCCAACAGAATGTATAAGCACATATCCAACAGATTGCTCATAACAATTAAGCATTATCTACAAAAAGAACACATTCAAAACCAACAGTAGACTCCTCTGTAATTCCATACATAGTGTCCATAGACTCCAAACAGAAAGTAACTGCGGCAGAAAACACCCAATGTGGAAAGAATAACAGCCCTACGTCTCTCCCAGGCAGGGGTCATTTCGTAGAAAAAGAGGTGCAGGAGCTCATTAACATAACTCATTAGCATAACTTATTTGCATATGCCACACCCCCTGACATCACCAGACGTGTGTCAGAAGGCAACACCCACCGCTCAGGCTCCACTGGACTGTTTTGGATTGCTAGCTATTGGGGGGGAGGAACGTGCAGATCTGTCCTTGCAGAGGAGGGAGAGCTTGTACCTGAATAAAACTTGGTCTTAAAGGTGCCACTGGACTGTTTTGGACCGGGGGGGGGGGCTCTGCAACTTACCTGGCTGCTTCTTGCTCTGACTGAGGGCTGCTGGGAGCAGGGGGTGGGGCTTGTTGCATGTGCCCGCCCCCTAGGCTCTTTACTGCCGGAGCTCCGCTCCTGTGCGCTCCTGCAGGAAATGACCCCTCCTCCCAGGTATAAATCAAGACCATTCAATTATCTTCAACAGCAGCTGTTAAAACGGAACCCGATTTCCAAAATAACATAGGCACAGCTCAATAACATCAATGGAATCCTAGGGTTCTTCCTTTGGTGGGTGCTATTTGTGGCTCACCTGGAAGATGGCAACAATAAGAATCTTCCCATTGGTTTCTACGTTTGTTTATTATAATAGCAGCAGAACAGGAATGCTGGTGTATAAAGAGGATATCATATCACTGTGTCTCTGGCCAAAAACCAGTCGAAGGATAAAACAGGGATTACTTTATGTACATACTTGAATTATGTTCTCAGATGGCATTTTCAATCTAAGCATGGATCAAATGCACTGTACAATCTAGCATTTCTTCCAAACAACAGACATCTGGAAGTTGGCATCTTGTTTGGAGTAGGCATGAAGCCTCTTGTGCTGAAATTCCCTAGAAGAAGGGGTGGAACTTTTTCCCCACCCCTCCCTCATGATGAGAAAGCCGAATGTGAGATTGCAAGGGAATTCAGAATGGTCAAACTAAATTTCTGTTCTCCCCCCACCTCTTTATATTGAAATATACCCTTGGAGATAGGAATATACTCAAGTATATGGAGGCATATGAAGAGCCCTGATGGATCAGACCAGTGGTCCATCTAGTCCTGTCTCATGCAGGGGCTAACTAGTTACTCTGGATGGGCAACAACAGAACATAGAAGCTGAGGCCTTCCCTGATGTTGCCTCCTGGCACTGGCATTCAGAGGTTTGTTGCCTTTGGATGTGGAGATTCCCTTTAATTACCACGGCTAGTAGCCACTTTTGGACTGTTCCTTTATGAATCTATCTAATCCTCCCCTAAAGCTGTCTATGTTTGTGGCCATCACGATAATCTGTGGCAGGAAATTCCACATGAAATCACATGTTTTGATAAGGACTGCATCCCCACACCACAAAATCGCAACACTGGCACTAAATGGCTGGGGTTCAGCCTCTAGGAATGTCGGCCTCCAGGTGGGACCTGGGGATCCCCCAAAATTACAGCTCATCTCCAGACTACAGAGATCAATTCCTCTGGAGAAAATGAGTGTTTTGGAGTGTGGATTCTGTGGCATTATGCCCCACTGAGGTCCCTGTCCTCCCCAGGCTTCACTCCGACATCTCCAGGAGTTTCCCTACCTGGATATGGGCAAACCTAACCCCCAGCCCCTGCCAGTGGCCGGGGGGACCTGGCAAATCATACATACATACATACATACATTCGTGTGTGTATGTGTGTGTGCTGCCTGAGTGTTCAATACATGCATCTGGATAAGTGGAATCTAATCCTCAAAGTTTTATCTATAATAACAGGAGTGCATCTGTCTGTGTGTCCATCCATCCATCCGTCTGTGGGAGGCATAACTCACCAGAAAATAAAGCTGTGGCCTCAAAATTGGTCACCACCTTCAGGATAATTGTGGGTGTTGCAGTGCCAGAAATTATGGGAACTGGAACATCCTGGCCTCGGTTTACCTCCAGAAACCCCCCCCCCCTTCCCATGCTATTTGCAGTGGAAGCTAAGGTACTTTCATTGGCAGGCATGACTCATCAGAAAAGAAAGCTTGGTGTTTTCAAATTGCCATTTCGGGATGACTGTGCCAAATATGAAGGGCACAGGAACACCTTGACCCCCAGACACTCCCCACCTAGTGTTTTTGCAGTGAAAGGGATGGGGGAAAACTCTTGTTACAGTAGAAAAAAGTCAGTGGAAAATATATGAGCACAGAGAGCTATGGGGTTGGCAAGCAGAGTGAGCAGGTCATACTTCTAGTACCGGAATCAAATCTTGTTAGTCTTTAAAGTGCCACTTGACTTCTGTTTCATTATCTAATGAAACATGTTAATGGCTTGTTAATGAATTTAAAAATACAGGGAAATGCTCTTCAGAACTCATTGTTTTGTTTGTAAGCAAATGTAAACAATTAATTGTTTTCAATTCCAGAGGGGCAGATGTGTCAAATCTGTTGCAGTTAAATTAAACAGATTCCAGTAGCACTTAAAACAGGGATCTCCGACCACAAAATGAATGCTGCGTCTTACCACAGTGAAGGGCCTTGTGCTGTGTTTGCAGCTGCTACCAAAGGAATGTTTTTAAAAATCTGTACAGCCAATCAAATCTCCAGTGACCAATCAGAAGGCTTGTTGAGCAAAGGAACCATATGGCTCTGATCACTTTCTAAAAACATGTGGTGGGTGCCAGGAAAAGTGTTGGCGGGGAGCCATGATGCCCCCTGGCACTAAGTTGGTGGTCCCTGCCCTAAAGTATGAATAAAATGTTTTCCAGCATAGGTTTTCGTGAGTCAGAATGCACTTCTTCAGATGTGTAGTTAGTCATCTAATACTGCTATGAATATTGACTAATTGAACAACAACCTTAATTTTAATAGTATTAAGCTTTGTTCAGACTGTGTCCCTAAATGCAGGCTCAAAGAAAAATCATCATGATTCTTCCTACTGCCATAAGACTTCTGTCAGCGAAAGGCAGGTTTAAAATATAACAATAAATAAATAGTTGTATTCAGTGTCTAGGAACCAACACAAAAATGTCAAGATTCTGGCTGAGCTGACAACTTGGGGGGATTTCCAGACCGAAGAGGACACTTTCACCATTATTTGCTCATATCAATCAATATATCTAATTCTCAACGTGGTCCTTTGGGATGCCAATCTCTAGGTGGGACCTGGGGGTCCCCTGGAATTACACCTCGTCTCCAGACTACAGAGATCAGTTCCCCTGGAGAAACTGGATGCTTTGGAGGGAGGACTCTATGGGCATTGTACCCCACTGAGGTCCCTGTCACCTGGCTTCTCCCCCAAATCTCCAGGAGTTTCCCAACCTGGATCTGGAAACCCTACCCCCCATCCCCTGCCGGGGGTTACCTGGAAACCCTAATGAGCCTGTCCATGGATACCTAACTTTAGAAACTGGAGACATGGACAAGACAGATCTTTCTACAAACCTGAGAAAAGCCTGGACCTTTAAGAGAGAAAGTCTTGGTGGCTAATGTGGAAGTTGCTAGGCAACCAAGACAGTGTTTCCTTAGTTTGTCAGTAAAAGGGAAGAGGAGGGGGTCCTTTCCAGTGCTGTTTTGGCCTTACGGGCATCCCTGCTACCCTCCCTCCTATTTTGGAGGGAGGACTCATCAGGGCCAGGGCCAGCAACAACTATTGGACACCATGCAATTTGTGTAATTCACCCAGGTGCAGCAGTGGCTACAATTTGAAGTCATACAACTCTCTTGGTCCATGCAGTACACAACTTGGCTAGGCCTGGCAGTGGTCACCACCCAAGTCATCTGAGCAATCGACATGACTTTTGCAACTGGGGCAGGCTTTTCCCTGGAAGGAGGCAGCCAGGAGGAAGCAAGGAGAAAAGCTGAGAGCTGATGTGGTGTATTGAAGTGTCAGACAAGGATCTGGGGCAGCCAGGTTCCCCTTTCTTCCATGGAAGCTTGCAGGGCACCCTTAGGCGAGTTACACCCTTTCAGCCTAACTCACCTCACAGGCTTGTACTGAGGATAACACGGAGGACAGAATAATGTATGCTGCTCGGGAGAAGGGCAAGTTATAAACAAAGGATGAAGCTGAAGACTGGGGGGGGGGCAGATAAAAGAAAGGATGGTCAGTGAGTGAGAAGGAGAGAAGGAAGCAGGGAAAGGGTGTGGAGACTGCCAGGAGGAGGGAAAGAGAACTTGTGAGGAATTCAATGTTCCCTCTAAGCTGTGGAGTCTTGTGAGCAAAAATTCTACTTTGTGAGCTACTGGCATTAAAGTTGTGAGCGAACAATTTGGCTACTGCATAAATTAGTTTGCTCTGGAGCCATCCTTCCTGAGCTGAGACAAAAATGTGTGAGCTGGAAGCTAAAAAACTGTGAGCTAGCTCACACTAACTCAGCTTAGAGGGGACACTGAATGGGATGCAGGGGAAACTGAAGTGATCCACTTGAGTCTTTGCAGTTTCCCTGCTTGTTTATTTCTAGTGTCTACTCCCTTCTGTCAAGGCAGGGACTTCCACTCTTTCATATAAAATGAAGAGGTGTGTTGCGTACAAAGAAAATTGCATTAGAAGAGCTCCTTTACTGTATTAGTCATTATCAATGAAGCAGAAAAAGTGTAGGAGGAGAACTAATGCTGGGCTTGTGCTTTCTTCGGCCATGTGATACCATAGCTGTGCTGAACGGCTGCCAGATTTAGCTCGAGGCAAAGTCCAGCCCTGCTTCTGGTACCTGAATTCCACATAGTGTCCACATGAAATTCTGCTGTGTGCATGCAACAACAGCAAAGGCTCTCTGGCTCATACATGGATAACTATTTTATGTTCACTGCACAGGCCATGATCCTGCTCCTTCGGAGGTGCTCACTAAATATGGGAGGCTCCGAGGCCAGCAAGTCAAAGTCAGTAGTGCAAAAAAAGATGTGAATGTTTTCCTTGGAATTCCCTATGCAAAGCCACCAACTGGAAACTTGCGCTTTGCCCCACCGGTACCGGCCGAACCATGGAGTGGTCTCAGAGATGCAACATCCTACCCAGCCATGTGAGTTACAACAGTAGAATCTTTCAGGTCTCTACAAGAAAGAACCATGTGCTTTCACAGCAATGTTAGAAGGCTTGAAACAGCTCCAGGGAATCACTATTTCCCCTGCTGGGGTTAGCATAACACTGGGGTAGGGTTGTCAACCTCCAGGTGGGGGCTGGAGATCTTCCAGGATTAGAATGATCTCCAGATGACGGAGGTCAGTTCCCCTGGAGAAAATGGCTTCTTTAGAGGGGTGGACTCTCTGGCTTCACATCACATTGGGGTCTCTCCCTTGCCCAAACCTGGTCCTCCCCAGGCTCCACCCCAAATCTTCTGGTATTTCCCGAGAGGAAGCTGGCAACCTTACACTGGGCAATTCTTCCTTCCTCTGATCTCAAAATGGCTGCCACACTGGGTTTCCCTCCATACATCCATTTATGGAATATTCAAAGGATGAGATGGTTAGACGGTGTTATCAATGCAACAAGCATGAAATTAAGCAAACTCCAGAGGACAGCACAAGACAGGAGGGCCTGGCAGGATGTGGTCCATGGGGTCGTAAAGAGTCGGACTCGACTGTGTGGCTGAACAACAAATATCCATACTAGTGGTATTGGCTGACATGCCACTAAAGTTTCTTTTTAGCGGTTTTTGAAGAGATGGATTATGAGGGAACACTCTGGTCCCATTTTACAAAATAAATCTGTTCGTTTTGGCTGTGTTTTGCTTTGTTTTGTGAAGGTGTCTGCAGGATCCAGTGGTGGGACAAGCTATGTCAGATGCTTTTACTAACAGAAAGGAAAAGGTCTCTTTGACTGTTTCTGAGGACTGCTTATATTTAAATGTCTACACAGTGGCTCACTCAGACACGAAACCTAAGTTACCGGTAAGCACAGGTCTTGCTACTCTAAGGAGAGCTTTTAGTTATTTATTGATTTCATTTGTACCCTGACTTTCTCCTCAGTAGACCAATACTCTAACCAGTACACTACTTGTATTTGTGTATTTGCCACTCCCCCCTCCCCCCAGAGGCTGAAGACAGTTTACAGGACTAGGATTCTGTATACCCACATTTGAATCCCCCCTTTGCCATGGAAGATCACTGGGAGAGCTGGTCAGGAGGAAGGGAGGGGAGAGCAATATTTTAAGCAGCTTTGCCTCCTCCCTGAGGGAAAAATGGGGTATAAATGTTGAAATAAAACACTGGTAAACATCTGTACAACTCCACAAACTGCTTCTGCAAGAAAATCCAAAAGAAAATACTAGTTCAGTGTGAACAAAATTGTTGTAACAGCACCTTGCAAAAGTCACCCAAGGGGCCCATTGAGCCTCCATTAGGGAGGCTGTTCTGGAGACAAAAGAGATAAATGTACATGATGAAGGCATGTCCATAGAATCATATAGTTGGAAGGGGCCATACAGACCATCTAGTCCAACCCCCTGCAGGACCAGCCTAAAGCATCTCTGACAAATATTCGTCCAGCCTCTTCTTGAAAGCTGTCAGTGAAGGGGAGCTAAACACCTCCCTAGGCAGCTGATTCCACCTTTGAACCACTCTGACCGTGAAAAAGTTTTTCCTGATTTCCAGCGATACCTTTCTGCATGTAATTTAAACCCGTTGCTTCGGGTCCTATCCTCTGCTGCCTACTGGAACAGCTCCTTGCCCTCCTCCAAATGACAGCCTTCCAAATATTTAAAGAGAGCAATCATGTCCCCCCTCAGTCTCCTCTTCTCCAAACTAAACATTCCCAAGGCCCTCAGCCTTTCCTCGTAGGGCTCAGCCTCCAGACCCCTGATCATCCTCGTCATTCTCTTCTGCATCCTCTTGATTTTGCCCACATCCTTTTTGAGGTGATGTTGATCAATGAAGATTCATATGGGCAGTGTGCAAAGGATGTGGGTGTAATTTATCAGCTCTCCCTCTGAGGTAGGGTTGCCAGCTCTGGGTTGGGAGATACCTGGAGATTTGGGGGGAGGGGGACGGAGCACGAGGAAGGTGGGGTTTGGGCAAGGGAGGGACTTGAGCAGGGTAGAATGCCATAGAGTCTCCCCTCCAAAGCTGCCATTTTCTCCAGGGGAACTGATTTCTGTTGGCTGGAGACCAGTTGTAATCCTGGGAGATTCCAGCCACCACGTGGTGGCAGGGAGCCAGTTCAATTGCCTGCTAGATTACATCCATACATATGCTAATGGCTCTGGTAGGAAAACCGACTAAGGAATTTGGTGCTAGGAAGTCTCCAGGCAACTCCTGGAGATATCCCAGAATGCATTCCAGGGCAGACCAAGCAGAACAGGTCAAGAGGGTGGAGGGAGTAAGGGGGTGCGTGGAGACAGGGGGTTATGAGGACTTCCTTGCAAGGGCAAGTTGGTCTCTTTTCCTTGGAATACTGTGCTGGGGACAACTTTGAGCTCTGGTCTGCAGGAAGGCAGCCTTCTTTTTCTGACCATGCGGTTCCCCGGTAATGGGATGTAGATAGGAACCTTGTAACTTTTTAAGATCGTTAGTGCCTGCCCTATTTTAACATCAGTTAGGGTACATCTAGAACAGGGAAAGGGAATTGCGTTAATGACCAATTTTCCTTTGAAATCCATTTGCTGATCTAGTGCTATGCTTATGTATGCTTGTAAATATTTTCTTTTCAATAAATCTTTTTTTATTTTGGAGGTTGGTTCTCAGTCTCTGTACCACCCAGATCCCCCACTATCTTGGAAACACGAGTGCAAGAGCGGCCCCCAAATTGGGAGGAAAGCAGTCTGTGTGTACATGACCATTTTTCCAGGAGAGCCCCAAAGTCGTAATTGGTCTCCGTGGTAACCAGGCTCTGGGTAACAGAGGACATAGAGGCGGGGCCTCAAGTTGAGAAGGGAAGCTAGGAGCCCTGTCCATCCTAGCAGGAAACCCCACCCAAAAGAGCAGGTGGTGGCAGTGAGTTACCTTAGTGGAAGGAAGAAGAAACTCCCTCCAGGAGTTGGCAATGCCAAGGAGGGGTGGGCAGAGCCGGGTCTGCAAGTCAAAGCAGGCCTGTTCCATCACACAGCCTATCTTTGAAAACAGAAAGGGAAAAACAAGAAACCTTTGTATTATCAATTAACGGGTCTAAAAGGGGGGGAAGAATATCCAGTTTCATAGAAGGAAAGCTCCGGAAGGGACCACAGACTTCCTGCTCCGATTCTAGTAAACTTTGTTATTTTTACTCAGGAAAAAACTTGCCCATCAGGCAGGGGTCGTTTTGTAGGAAAAGAGCTAGGGGAACTCATTAGCATAACTCATTAGCATATGCCACACCCCCTGACATCACCGGAAGTGTGTCATAAGGCCACACCCCCTGACATCACCGGAAGTGTGGCATAAATACTTGCAGAGTCAACCTTGCTTAGCTTCCAAGATCTGCAGTTCTTGAGCTGATGGGGACCTCTGGACAACCTGGACAGGTGGCACGCTAGTGGACTATACCTCCCCTCAAAAAACCAGTGCTTTTAAAAAAGTATGATGGCCAATAAGGGGCCCGGCGGTGGACCTGCAAGGCCGGCGGGAGTGCGAGGAAGCCCCGCGAAGGCCCTTGGCCTTGCAGCTCCACTGCCGAGCCCCATGAGGCCGGCGGGAGTGCGAGGAAGCCCCGCAAAGGCCCTCCCTGACCCCAGGCAGGCAGGGGTGGGGAGAGGCGGGGAGGGAGCAACTTACCCTCCCTCTTCTCCTGCCTCCTCCTGGCTGAATGAGGGCCGGAAGCGGGGCGGCCGGAAGCAGGGGGCGGGACTTCGTCATGTGCCCCGTCCCCCGCACCTCACCCGGGGGAACTGCGATCCCCCGCGATCCCCCCCGAATCTACCTCTGCCATCAGGTAGGGAGAAGGCTTCCTTTGTGATTTCTCACGAGATTATATTTACCAGTGAATGCTGCTATGGTTTATGACATAATCTTGTGGGAAATCAAAAAAGACTTCTGCCTGATGGGTAGTTTTTTTCCACCTGTGAAGGTTGATCCTGGTGGGGGTACCTACCCATGTGCAGGATGTATTCCGACCCATTTCAGAGGATGTTAGCTTAGAGAGCAAATTATTGAGCATAAAACTATGTTTTTTATTTCTAGGTAATGGTTTGGATCCATGGAGGAGGGTTACTGTTGGGTATGGCGTCCACATATGATGGGTCGGCATTAGCAGCTTATGAAGAAGTAGTGGTTGTTGCGATTCAATACCGGTTGGGCATCCTTGGTTTTTATAGGTAAAACATTCTGCTTCAGACTTTTTGAACCCACTACAATGTACCTCAGCCCTGTAGTCTAAATGTGCTGGTCCACTTAAGCCTTCACTAGCCCCCCTCCCTCAAACTGGCCATGAGATCATCAGGATGTGTGGTGACCATCAGAAACTGTGCACATTGTAATAGGAGTGGCACTGTGTGTTCCTGTGGTAAAGTAACTTGCTCTTCTCAGTGATGTTTGACACACAAGCAGCTGTCCTGTGAACACACCCTCATTGTGGTAGCTTCTGTAGCCCACAGTTTCACCAGCAGATTATTTTGGTGGTGGGGAGAGATACTGTTAGAGCTCAAATGAATGCTTGGCTCATTTATGACACCTTTAGTCACCTTTCTGGACAACTGACACTATCCTCGAACTTCTCATCCACCATACATTTTCGCAACAGATCTTTGACATAGGTTAGGATGAGAGGGAGTGGCTGGCTTAAGGTCCATCACTGAGTTTTTGTGGCTGAATATGAATTTGAATCAAAACCCTTTCTGGTTTAAGACCAGTTTTGCTACACCACATGGGCAGTCAATGCTGGAATGGTATTCTTATTCAGGTTTTATTTATTTATTTATTTATTTCGATTTATAAACCACTCTCCCCAAAACCCGTTCAGAGCGGGTAACAACAATTTATGAAACATACAATCTAAAACATTACAATAAATTACAATAAATATACTAACAGTTAAATAATTACAATACAATCAATAAATTACAACTACAACTACTATATGACTAAAACATGGCATATTCCACCTTTTTGCGGGGGGGGGGAGATACTGCAAGCTGCACATGGTAAAGATCAGACATATGATGGTCCCAGTGCCTCACTGGATCTTTAAGGTGAATTGAGAGTTCCTGGTCTGTACTGGAAGGTGGACAAAGAAATACCCTTGTAATTGCATCTGTTAAAACATTCTGTCTAGAGGATATTCTGTTTAAAAGAAGCACTGCAAAGCCCTACATCTGTAGAGATGTACAATTTCTGAAATTAAAAAAAAAGTTTTTATTGAATATTGTAAAGGGAAAGAAATAGGGACACAGGGAATAGGAAAGGGGTACAAAGGGAAAAATAGTGCTTACAATTACTTCTACAGACACGATTGCATTACATTAATAATTCTACTTATACAATCAGGTAATTCTTTGTATTAACTCTAATCACTTAAGCCCATGCCTTTCTTGATATCTGCAAAAAGCCAAATTATTGCCTTTACATCAAAAGAGCATTTTATAACTTCTTTTAAAATTATAAATCTTATTACCTTATTACCCTTTTAATATATTTTAATAAAAACATTCCAGTTAATTAATCATGTTTAAATTGTATTAATTTCATATCTATGGATTCTCATATTCAAATATCTTATAACCTCTTAATCATTTACTGCAAAACTAATCCTTATTCATACAATTATAGAACCTTAATGTCCTACTGCTTATAAATAGTAATAGAAACATACCTAATTCACATCCCTTTAAGATTACATTTTACTAGATTCAACTTCACAGTTCTTATAAAAATTTTCATACAAGTACTGATAATATTTATCTTTAGGATTTTCTAAAATAACACATACAAATGCCTTATAACAAATATTTCTTTGACATTTTATTTAATTTCAGTTTTAATTCAATTTAACCTTCTTGGTTATCTTCTTAGCTATCATTAACCATCCTTTACACGGATACAGCCATACTAAATTCCATACGTTATTAATATTTGTTCTTGAATCATATTACAAGGTTTTGAGCGTTGCTATAATTACAGATAAGAACTACCTGACACTTATTTCTCTTAACATTTAATTTTAGCCACAATTTATCTTAAGTTTTATATAATTAAATCTCATTAAATCTCCTTACATTCCATTTTAAATATCACTTGCCCTTTTGTAGCAATTCCACCTTAAGTAGTTCTCCCCCCCTTCCCTCTCCTTCTTGAATTCCCAGCATTTTATCTTCTATAGTTGTGGATTGTTCCTGTAGTATTTCAGTATGGGGGTAGAACTCTCTCCTTGTTTACTTGCTGAATCCCAAAAGAATGTATCAGTCAAGCTTAGAATTATCTTCCATTCCTCCATCTTGATATCTTGTGATTCTTTCACTTCAGGCAGGCATGCAGCTATTTTTCCCATTTTTACTTTAAACAGTTTAATCTCTGATATTTCCACCTATTCCAATCTTAGTTCCTCCCTCGGATCTTGTACTTCATTTGGTAGATGTTTTGGTAAACTTTCTACTTGGTGAAATTTACAGGAAAGCTCCTGGACATGGTCCTCTAAAAGGTACACATTGTACTGTATTGGAAGTATAGCTGTGTTAAAAGTGTCCTTTAATGTTTCCATTATTGCTTGAAAGGTAGCCATTGTTCCCATGGAGCAATTTAGCCAGATAGTTGAGCCCACAGAGTTTGTTTAGACTAAGCCAGAGAATCCAAATTAGCTGTAATATTAATTAAATCTTCTTCCAGCAATAATCCTTCTCTGAATCCAATTTAATGTCAATATAGTCCAAATAAATTCATTATAGAGTCAGAGGCAGCTTTTAATCGTATTAATAATATCCAATCCACTTTTCAATTTGCAACCAGTTAGATCAATAAGGGACAGCACAGTCGAAAATCTTATAAGAATTGCAGTCCCTTTTAAATGTTAATTCCTTTCGTTTGAGAGCTGCTTCCAAATTGGGGGGAGGGATTCCCCCTCTCCCCGTTATCTTTCTAATCCTTTTTACAGTGTGGTTAAATCCTTCAGATCTATTTCAGCCAGCACTTCATGAATAAAAAGAGAACTTACTTGCAGAATATCTTCTTAGTTTATGTAGAGGATCACTTTATGTAGAAGAATGCTTAGTTTCAGTTCTTAAAAGTCCAGTTGTCACAACTTGGTGCCAAAATGGTGATTGCATTGGCTGGGGCTTCAGGGCAAACAGGAGACTCCAGATCAAAGCTGCCGCCAGGATCTGGCTCTCCGTCACACACCCTCCTTCAGGTATCCCTTTCCTGGGGTACCCCTAGGAGTCCAGAAAACCCAGACTCCCCAAACCGCACAATTCAGGTGACCACTGGAGCAGAGCTCCCCAGCTCCCCCTGATCTAATTGCACTGAAACCAACCAATTTCTGAAAATTTTGAAGCCACAGGTGAAAAAATTGGTTTATTCTGTTCCAGAAGAAACCCCAGAAATTTTGTGAAAAATTGAAACATATGCAATACTGACTGTCCTATCAAACCTAAGCCAATGTTGCTGCTTTAACAACACAAAATACATAATTTATCATTTACCTTGCATATGAAATTGCAATATTTCATGTATTTATGTTATAAAGTTATAAAAGCCTTAATTTTGGACAAGCAAAATTGCAAATATATCCAGGACTTGCAAGCTGACTCACGTGTACTTTAATTTTTGCTATCTGATTAGAGAGAGTTCAGTTTCAATTAAACTTTCATTTTTTTCTCTAAAAATATACTACTTGACAAATATACAGCTTAACATAACTGATAATTGATAAGTTGATGAACAATCCATAATATTCCTACAGCCCAGCCACTGGTGGTTGCAAATCCTTTATTATGAAGTGGCACATACTAGGTCTCACAGTAATAAACATACACAGGAGCACATTGTATGAGTGTTTCACAACACTGACATGAATCTGCACATGGTTCTCATTTGGATTACTGGTAACTGTTCACCTCTACCATTTTCTGGAAAAAGCCCTTTAGTCCTCTCAAAACCTTTTTCTGCCATTTTGGTTATTCTAGCATCCCACCTACACCTCCAGTATACTTTCAGTATACTGAACAATTTGAATTCCTTTTTTGAAAGAGCCCTGTTTGTTCTGTACTGAGCCACACTTGGCTCCGGTGCCAATGGCTGCAGACATTTAATCTAAGTCAATCTTTGGAATCTGCAGCAGGAGGGATGACGGTAAACAAGAAGTTAGGCAATGGGCCATTTGCAACATTCACATAGTTTAGATAAATGAAAGCATGCCAGTTTTCTTTGCCAGAACTTCAATAAGAATAAAAACGTATTTTTTTGGCTTTATACCACTTCTTACCATCAACTTTCCGACAGCCAAGTAGGTATTTCTAGAGTTTCTCCTTCCTTCCAGTTCTGGTGACACCACAGCCCGTGGAAACTGGGGCCTTCTCGATCAAGTAGCAGCCCTCCAATGGGTCCAGGAGAACATTGCAGACTTCGGAGGTGATCCAGGATCTGTTACTATATTTGGCGAATCTGCAGGTGGATTCAGCACTTGTGCCCTGGTAGTTTGTTTTTAAAATTTGGTTTGGGGATATTGGTATTTATTATTCTTTCAGGAGTTGTCATTTTATGAAACTATTGTAAGAAGACCCCAGATAACATTTTCTTAAAGCATGTCGTCTTTAGAAGCTCTCTGTGAATGTCTGTGCCTTGGGCTTCATCCTGCTAAACTCAACAGGAAAGGTGGACTGTTAAGAAAGTAAATAAATGCATAAACAATGCATAAAATAAAATTGATTTTAAAATGGCCAACTGGGTAGTAAAGAAATGTTATGTTGTCTCTCTGTACCTTTGTTAGTTGTACAGTCTCAGAGATCTCCACAGTGGCTTTGAGAGGAAAATGATGGGGACCTATATTGTGCCTGTTGCCCCCCACCCTGGCCTTACTTACAGCCTCTTGGCACAGGGGGCATTTTCTGTTGGAGAAATGACATGGAGGGGCAGTTAACCTAGGGTTGCCACCTCCAGGTGGCACCTGGAGATCTGCTATTATAGTTGATCTTCAGACAATCAAGATCAGTTCCTCTGGAGAAAATGGCTGCTTTGGAGGGTGGAGTATATGGCATTATACCATGCTGAGGTACCTCCCCTACACAAACCCCGCCCTTCCCAGGCTGCAACCCCCCCAAATCTCCATGTATTTCCCAACCAGTGTTCCATCTAAGCTGAGTTAGTGTGAGCCAGCTCACAGTTTTTTAGCCTCCGGCTCACACATTTTTGTCTTAGCTCAGTAAGGACGGCTCCAGAGCAAACTAATTTATGCAGTCGCCCAATGGCTGGCTCACAACTTTAATGCCAGTAGCTCATAAAGTAGAATTTTTGCTCACAAGGCTCCACAGCTTAGAGGGAACATTGTTCCCAACCCAGAGCTGTCAACCCAAAATTAACCTTCCCCCCTTTGCTTGCATTGCAAACCAAATCCAGCTCATCTCCCTTGCTCCACATGAGCTCAATTTCACATCTGGGGATTCCAACACAGGTCCCCACAAATCACAGCTGTTTTGGCCTTTATTCTTCTCCTATCTGTACTTACTGAATCTAGCACAGAAACTATTTGAATCAATAGCAATTTATCAAAGTTAGGATCAAGAGCAAACATTTCTTTTGCGAAGGCCTTGGTGCGATTGCTAGATGTTGCTGTAGACTTTCAAGATCACAGTAATTTGGTTGAAAGCAAAAGCAATGGAAGTGGGAACTTTCTACTTCCAGAGAGCAACAGACCATTGCAGAAGATTGAGAGGGGAACTGCCAAAGCCTGTTGGCCTAATCATTAGCTCTGTTAACCAAGAGTACAACCTAAAATACACCTGACATTCTCCCCTTCCCCAATGTTGCACATTACAAAGAAAGTCAGTAATGCTATTGAAGGCAATGCCCTGAGGGTGCTAAGGTTCTTTGAATTGTGAGGCTAGCCAACTGAAACCCATACAGTGGGAGAAAATATCCAGACAGTAAAGGGTAGAAAGGTTTTTATTCGAATAAAGGACACCATACAGCCAAAAATTCAGCTCAAATGTCCAGTGAGTAACAGCAGGGTTCTGATTAATATATTCTTCTTGCTCCTCCCAACTTTACATCATTGTTGACATCATTTTCACATGCTCGGATTGAGTTTCTTTGCCTTAACAACCATTAATTATACATTTGACAAACAAGAGGCTACGTGGCCGCATTTCAGCCTTACAATGCAGTTGTTCATCTCGTTAAAAATGATTAATGCATCTCATTGGCTGTCTCCCCAGACTTGCTTCACCTTTGAATGAAATTTCAGGCTAAGTTCATTCTCAGTATAAACGCTGTTTTTATTACAAAAATGGTTTCTTTATATTGATACATGCATATATGTTTTAAAAAACCATTTAAAATATGAAGAATATGGAAAATATATCATTACAATGACATTCCAAAAAATTAAACTGTATACGTGCTCTTTCTAATGTTCTAAAGTAGCCTATAACATAAAGCTTTTGTAGATACCTTGAATCCAGCTATTATTCTTTATTTTAATCCATCAGAAGATTTTTGCTGAATTTTTGAAAATATTAAATCTAAGTTAAACTTTATAGTGTTACAAAATATACTATTTTGCTTCAGCCATCAGGGGTCCTTTTTGTATAATATAAATTCTGCATTCTTAATTGGTCTTTTAATTAATGTCAAGAGCCATGATTAATATTTTTAGTTCTTACTGAACTCTGAGATGATCACATACCTGGCTGTGTTCCATCTCTTTTGCTTATTAAAACAAGCTTGGTAGTTCCTTATAGCTTATAGCTGTGTATTAGCAAAGTTTCTTATTTAAGAATATAGTCTTAGTAAATATTTTAGCTATCTGAAAGCCTTTATTCTCAGCTATAAACAAAATATGAAAGTTGTATTTTAACTTTTAAAAGCACACAACAAATAGGAAAAGGGTTTTTCTAAAATTAAATCTTTTTCCAGGGAGCATAATTGTACTTTTTCTCAACTCAATTAATCATCTTGACATCTTCTTTAACCAATTATCACTTGCCTTTTCGCTGAGCATTTTATCAATTCAGCTTACTGTGTATAATTATTTCTCTAAGCAAGCAAACAGTCCTTTTTGCCTTAAAATAATAAGCTGCTAAAAGGCAAATGTATTTATATTGCTTATAGATTCCAATAGTTCAATAGTTATGTGTTAAAGCCTTTTAAGCTTAAAAGAAACTTAGTTTGATTTTTGCTTATTTAAAATTACTAAAAATTATAGCCACTGTAAACTTTTAAACCTGTTGCTTTGAAGCAGAGAATCTCACCACAGATCTTAACTCTGACAGCTCATTAACAGGTGGTTGGTACCAACCTAATTAAAAAGTATACTGATGTTGGAACACCTGCTTGTTAGAAAATTCCTCTTCTGTCAGTTAAATTGGATATAAAACACCTGCTTCTACAATTCTGCTTAGTGCTTAACGATTTGCCACTAACTCCTGGAGAATCCCAAAGATCCTTTCCCAAAGATCTCTGGTATGCCAGAAATAATCAATAGATAATCATTTGCATCCCTGAGCTTCCTCTACATTATCTTGTATTCCAAGGAAATGTGTCCCCCACTGCATATCTTCTCACTGAGGAATGCTTGAAAGGCTTAAAAATCAGTGGGCAATGGGAACAGAATTCTGGAAGAGAGGCTGTCATTGGTATTTGTGCTTTCCTTCCCTTCTCAGGTCGTATCTCCACTGGCAAAAGGCTTGTTCCATAAAGCCATCTCTGAAAGTGGCGTCTGTCTCTTGGATGGTCTCATGGACATGCATCCAGAAAAGCATGCTAAGGTAGGTTTTTGGAGGGAGTGCTAGAACTGATACTGGCCCAGTCTGCATCTAGCATTTGCTCCCCTGTTTTACCAAACCCACATTGGAACAGAAATCCCCCTCTGCATGGCATGCCACTTTCACTTTGATTGATTGTCAGATTTTATGGCAGTGTCCAGACTGCATGCCGCTTTCACTTCGTTTGATCTGTCGGGTTTATGGAACTGTCTACATAGATTTATGAGCGTTTTATGGCCATTCAGGGGTGACTCAGGGGTATTTGAATGTGGTTTTGAGCCGCATCTAGGCTAGGCTAGCCAATGTCCAGGTGAATGTAGCAACCTGAACTGCAGTGTCAGGAGAGTCTAATAATGAATAAATATACACTGCAAGAGATTTTTACAAACAACCGTGTTCTATTTGTAACTATCATGCTATAAAGTGCATAGTGTGCTATTATTACATCTTTGTCAGGTTGGTACATGCATACGATACTTTCAGTTTAACAACTACCAGTCAATATTGCATCAGTATTTTTAAAAATACTTGACTTTTAAAAAATACTAATGCAATATTGACAGGTAGTTGTTAAACTGAAAGTATTGTATGCATGTACCTGACAACAAGGATGTAATAATATCACACTATGCACTTTATAGCATGATAGTAACAAATAGAACACGGTTGTTTGTAAAAATCTCTTGCAGTGTTAGAATGTCCAGGTGGGGCCTAGAGATCACCCAGAATTCCAGCTGATGTCAGCATGACAGAGATCAGTTCCCCTGAAGCAAATGGCTGCTTTGGAGGGTGGACTCCTATTTATCATATTTATTTAATGAGACTTTTATCCCTCCCCTCCCCCAGAATGGGGCTCAGTGTGGCTAACAGCATAGCATTCTATGACATTATACCCTGCTGAGCTTCCTTCTCTCCCTGGATCTGCCTTCCCCAGGTTCCACCTCTCAAATCTCTAGGATTTTTCCAGCCTGGAATTGGGAACCCTGCCTGTAGCACACCTGACCCTCAGTGAACTGTGACGTTTCCATGACCCTAAAACTTTGGTCTCTATGCTCTTTTAAGATGGGCTTTGAGGCAATTATTTTCAGTCCTATGAAAACTATGACAAATGTCTTTCTCTCGACTGCAGAAAATTTCGGAAGCCGCAGGCTGTAAAACAACAAGCTCAAGCGAGATGCTGCATTGTCTGAAGGGGAAGACGGAAGAAGACATTTTGCAGGCCATTTCCAAGATGGTAAACATGCTGTTATCTGGTGATCTTTCATATGGACTGCACAGTATGAGCGACACAGGCCTCCTGCCCAAAATGGCACTCAGTGTTCCCTCCAGCCATTCCATTTTGTTTCCCTGCTCTGTTTCATTGGCGGTTGGAGGTGAAGAACATGATGATCTCATTATGTATTTATTTCATTTATAGCCCACAATTCTCTGCAGTGGGGACCAAAAATAGCTTACAATGCTTCTTCATTTCTCCATTTTATCTTCACAACAACACTGTGAAGTAGGTTAGGCTGAGAACACATGTGACTGTCTCGGTCACACAATGTGCTTTCATGGCAGAATGGAAATTCGAACCTGCATCTCCCAGATCCTAGTCCACTACACTACATTGGATCTCCTTGGTTTATGCAGTTTAATAACTACTTTGATAAAGGCATAAACCATTTTTATTCATGGATGAAACAGTAGTAAGAGCATTGTCACACATACAATGAATGTCATATAATTGGTTATTCACATTCTTTCTGGCTTCATAATGGGTTAGTTTGAACATTTACTCCTACATATACACCTTCCCCAGTATCTGAAGGGCACACTTGATGTATACTACCTACTGTCACTGGAACCAGTGCCAATGTGAAATACTTGTGGATCTGAACTGTCCGGTGATTCAGTTCATGTTGTTTTACGTTGGACTGTGTGGCACAGTTCAGTTCTGCCCTGAGGTCCAATTCATGATTAATGTGCATGTTGGCACTCAGAAAGATGCCTGGACTATGCCGCATTGGGCAATTCTTTAGGTGCCTGCAGTTTGCACTGCTAAAGAACTCTGCAGTTTCCAGCATCTTGCACAGATGCAGAGCCCTTCGGGTGCCTGCTTTTTGCATAGCTTCACGGCTCTGCAATTGCCTTTCCTTTGCAAAGATCCAGCGTTTTCTGCACGTGCCTTCAATGTGCACTTTAGCTAAATTCTCTACTTTGCAGTGCTGCAGAGCTCTGCAAATGACCGCACTTTGTGGTAAACATTGCTGCATATTTGGGGTGGGGGAGGACATCAAGATAGGATTCCATTTTGGCCACATATTTATCTGACTTGTAACGTGTAGAGTTATGAATAAAAACACACTCATTTGGTTATGATGGCTTAAAAATAACACAAGACTGTAACTGGGTAACGCCGGTTTGAAGATTTCTGTTAACAGATCATTTGTTTCCAGGATCACAACAAATAAGCTTCGTAGAGCTTCCAAGACTAACATATTTATTTTGGCAGATGCTTTGCAGGAACTGGAGTCTGCTTGGTCAGTTTATCCTTACATATTATATACCTACATAAAGTGAGGAAAAATGTAAATGCTGGGGAGATGTAGCTCTGACATGCAAAAGTACAGGCTCTGATGCTTCTGTGCCAAACTCAAATGCAAGATAAACCACAGTGAAACCATGGTCTTCTTGAGTGAGTCCTAAATGACTAGAATTAACCTTGGAATCACCTGGAGTCTCCCTTTGAAATTATTTTTGTTGAATGAAGGTGATTTACTATCCCAAGCAGCATTCCTGAAGTATTTCTGGGCAGCCTGGGCTTTGCTTAGATGTTCAGTGGTATTCAAATGGTGATCTAAGGAACTGAAGGATCCCTTGGTGCTTATCAGAATGCAAATGCAAAAGGTACTTCTAATTACAGATGGAGGGTTCTATCCTTTAGGAATTTCCCGGAATTAAGAATTGCTCTTGTGCAACTCTCATTATTTCTGTGAGGTTTGTGTAGGAGAATTTCAGGAGGACTGTATCCATACTTGTAAAAAATGAATCTCCTGTTGTAATTTCTCTTGCCATTCCAGGATTTAAACAGACTCAATCTGGATGAAGATGAAAGAGTAAGTATGTTTCTGCTGACCTTTGACCTGTCCATGGGTCTATTTGGGAAGACATTACTTATCCAGATAACTTTCTTCTGAAGCCTGAAGCCAATATGAGGGAAAGTATGCTTGAGGAGATGAAAGATGGGGAAAGATGCATTTGTTTTTGGACTGAGCTGATGAAAAAAGTGGGCGAGTTTGTTTAGGGAATTATAGCATATGCTCAAGTAAGGTGAACAGCAGTTCAAGGGTGTGTAAGGTGACAGACATGCCATCGATGGCTATCTGCTTAAATGTTTATTCAGTGCTTTATTTTGAAAAACAAAACCTCAATCCTATTTTCTCCCTGGAGAAGGGAGGAAGTGGCAGTAGGAGTTCCAGATTTCAAAAAGAGAGAGGAGAGATGGACAGGGAACAAAGGCTGGTTCCCATCCCAAGTGTCTTCCACTGCTTTGGAATGAGAACTCTACCAAGGTGGTGCTTAGGGTGTGTGTGTGTGGGGGGGGGACGCTGCCATTAGCGTGATGATGTCACTTCCAGGTACAACCCTAAAGTGACAATGAGTAGTGGGTGGAACAGCCCCACTGATCTGCAGGCCCTGATCCTTCTTGCCTTGCATCTGGGTACCAGTGGCTGTCCAAAATCTTCAACTAGCACATGCCACCCACCTATATTTCCCAACTCTCAGAGGGGCTTTTCTGTCCTTATTTCAGTTCAGCCACTGCCACCACCTGCCCTTTGTAGGAACTACCTGGTGAGAGTCTTAGGGCTCCCAAGTTCTTTTCCCTGCACTGCCATTCTATGGCCTTGTATTATGCCTGTATCTTCCACTACCCAGTGTCTGGTTACCATGGGGACAGTTTACAGAACTTGTGCACCATTGGGAGAGTATCAGCTTTCCAACTGACTGCCCTCCTTTTTCATGGCACTCATTTTAAAATAATGTGTCTGAAAGGGTCTATATGGTACAGAGAACAGCTGTAAAAAAGTTATAAAACATTTGTTAAAAAGAAAATGCCCACACACATACTCTTAGCACAGCAACAGATTGAGCAAAGGATGCAAAAGAAAAGTGTAAACAGGCAGATTCCTCTGTGCTTGCCCTAGCTGATCTAAGGCAGGCTATAAAAGTTACAGTGGTTCCACTGGATTCCTATTACCTTGAAGCCTCTGCTCAGGCCTTTAGTCCACCACATGTCAATGGCTGCTTTTAGCAGGAGCCCAGGTGTAAGACCTCTGTCTGCCTGGATGGAATCAGCACCCAAAGAGACCCTCCTAGCTGTGCCAAGGAGTGTTATAATCTCTGTTTGCACACCTCCTGGGCAGGGCAGGTCACATAACCTTTTCCAGAAGTGTTCAGGAAGAGACTTCTCTAGGGATTTCAACCTCCAAAACTGTTCCCTACTAGAGGTCACCTTTGTAGTTGGGGGGGGGGGTAGAGAACTTGACCATCCTATTGTCTCCAGATAGTGCTCTTAGCATTTCTAAAGTGTGGCTTAGATGGGCTGGAGAGCAATTGAAACGACTTGTCCCCTCCTGCCTGTTCTCTGCCAAGACAGAGAAAACCTTTTTAAAGTTAAAGATGAAGGTTTTGCTCAGTTCAAACCTCCCAAAAATACATTTCTCCACAGGTAATTCTAGAAATTGACAGAAACGGTATGGTTTTACCATAGAATTTCCAATGACTCCTGGAACTACCCTTTATCTCTTCTGGATTGTATTTAGAAGTGACATCACTGTGCTCACAAAGTGAGGTTTTTTAAATTTTTAAGTACATTTTTTAATTTATCCCCTGCTGCTGTCTACAGTGGCAGTGGGCAATGGAAACTCAGTGTGGGGGGTCTGGGGGCTTGACATCCCTAAAAGGTATAGGTTTTAAAGATGTTACTGAGAGAAAGATGAAGAGATTAGAGACAGAATCACTCTTGGTCTAGGAGAAATTATCAGCTCTGCATTAGAATGCATCTGTCTTTTTTGGTGACCCCAGTTGCTGTTTTCAGGAACAATGAAAACCATTTGGATTGGTGAGCTGGGTGAATGGGTCTCTGAAAACAGCCTGCTGTCATATTTGGGGGCTTGGAAAGTCTCCTGTCAGAGGTCAGATCGGATGTAGACCTTGGGGTTGGTTTAGGGTTGCCAGCTCCCAGGTGGGAGCGGGGGATCCCCTGATTTCACAGGCTCCTGCCCCCTGCTGGCCAGCTGGCTGTGGGGGGAAGCCCCGGCCCCAACAGCCACAAGCCTGCAAGATGTCCTGACATGATGACATCACACATCACATGTCATCACTCTGGGGATGTCGCATAGCTGTAGTATTTTGGGCAAGACTCTATGGTTACCATCTCTGAAGAAGTGAGCAGTGACTCACAAAATCTCATACCCTGCTGAGAATTTTGTTAGACTTTAAGGTGCTACTGGACTCTTGGTCTTTTCTACTGCTACAGACAAACACGGTTACCCATCTTGATCTAACTCATTTCCAGACTACAGAGATCAGTTCCCCTGGAGAAAATGAATGCTTTGGAGGGTGGACTTTATGACACTGTACCCTACTGAGGTCCCTGTCCTCCCCAGGCTCCATCCCTTAATCTCTAGGAGTTTCCCAACTAGGGTTGCCAGATCAACTTACCTAGCCACTGGTGGTCTCCTGATGTCCTTCTAGGAGACTGGAAGTGATGTTGGGCATTTTGGGGCCTACTTCGGTTTTGGGACTACTTTCAGTTTTGGGACTACTTCTGGTCAGGGTGACACTTTGGTTTTTGGGCAAAACTCTATGGTAGATTTGGCTTCCAAATGTAGAGTTTTGCCCAAAAGCCAGAGCGTCACCCCCAACCAAGAGTAAGCTCCAAACTGGAAGTAGGCCCAAAAAGATCAGTTGGGAGTGGGATTTCCCAGCTGACCGGAAGCGGGCAAGAGTCTGCAAAAGTGGGGGTTCCCCATTCCCACCGGGGGGCTGCCAACCCATATGGCAACCATACCCCCTATCCCCCGCCGGTGGCCGGGGAGACCTGGCAACGCTATGCTCAGGGCAGCCTCCATAGACCTCCCTTGGGGGCTGGGGTGCAGTATGCCAGCTCTCTTCTCCAGGCTGCAAAGAGGCTGGTGGGGCAGCTCCTCCAGTCACAGATTTTCCTATCTCCTCACCACCCACTGATCTTGGGGGCTGCGGTTGTTTTGGAACATTGGGGGGGGTAGGTGTCTGTGAATCTACCTGGCTTTGCTTATATTAACTGGGACAGCTGTTCTGCTAAAAAGTAGACTCTCGAGAGGCAGCATTTTAAAAAGACCCTTGCAAAGAAATACATTAATAGGCTATGATTCGAGCTCTATGTCAAACTCCGTTTTTCTTAGTTTGCCATGGTTGTAGGGGGAAGGGAAATTCCTAAGGGGGGGAGCGAATGCAGTGTGTGTGAACCGTGCTATTGTGGAAGCTGTAATTTTTCCTGTAGAAGCTTTCCTCCCAGAGGAACATCCTTGAAGCCTTTGGTGCCAGCTTGCTAGGGAAGATAGTGGGATTGTATATTTCCCAGAGGGTGTGGGTAGACAATGCAATGTCTAGGCGGGATGAATGCGGCGTGTGATTGGTCACTTAAGGAGATCTTGTTTGAATTACCTATAACTATACCTGTACCCGCCAAAATCCGCAGTTCTGACACAGTACTGTTCTGGTCTGGATCTTGTCTGCTTCTCGATAAACAAATCACTGCCAAAGAGAGTGTTGTTGAGAGTAACTTGTCTAGGCGCCTGACACTCTATTCTGATGTCCTTAACTTTTTTTTCTTTTTCTTTCAGTATAGTGTGTTTTCCTATGCAGTTGTAGATGGTGTGTTTTTCCCCAAACTGCCCAAAGATCTCCTAGCAGAGAAAAACACGAATAACGTACCCTACATAATTGGGTTCAATAACCATGAGTCTGGATGGATTGTTCCGCATGTAAGGCATTTCTCTTGCTTTTAATGCCACACCTTAAGCCTGTTTGCCTTTTGAGAAGCAACCTGTGCTTCCTGCACTGTTCACATCTCGTATCCACTGTTCTAGATGCTGGACTTTCCAGATTTCACAAGAGGCCTAGACAGAGCAACAGTAACTTCTATGATTCGTGGCTTAAAACAATTCACGGTGAGAACAGAATTCTTAATGTTAGGTTTACAGCCATCCTTGATTTCATCCTGGACCCAAATGTAATTTAACTGTGTTATTTTAATATATACGAGGGAGAGGGGTAATAATAATTATCGTATGGCACTGTGTGTAGTATAGCCATGAGATCCTTAGATGGTCTGGCAGCCAGAAGTTCTAGCTCTTTTAGCGTTATGCACCACTAGGTGGCAAGCTAGACTTGTTTTTTGGGCTGAGAGAGTTCTGAGAGAACTGTGACTGACCCAAGGTCACCCAGCTGGCTGCATGTGGAGGAGCGGTGAATCAAACCCGGTTCTCCAGATTACAGTCCACTGCTCTTAACCACTGCATCAGGTTGCTCTTGGGGTGGGAGAAACAGATAGCAGTGTGAGAGACTCTGGGGGATCCATTATGGCCTGCTGGTGGTTGCTCAGAGTGTAAAAAGAGGTTCCAGGTTTTGAGGGGCCCTAGGCAGATAGTTCCCAGTCGTCCCCCCTCTGCCCACCACCAGGCACTCATGATGACCTCATTCCCCCCCCCAACCACCTGCATGCCTCCCATCTGCTTGTGTGTCCTTCCTATGTCAGCTCACAAGTGTCCCCACTGCCCAGACTCACAGCAGACTTCAGACCTTTCCCCAGTGGCACCAAGAAGTGCATGCAGCAGACAGCAAAGGTTGCGGAGAGCTAGCAAGTGAGTGGGCAGGGGGTGGTGGCAGAAGTGGCCTTGCCAGAAACACTGGAGTGGGGGAGCTGCCACAACTCAGGGTATGCTGAAAGGGTCCATTGTTCATCTGTTCTGACTGTGAGCCACAAAGCAAGCAATCCTCCGGAGATAACAGCAGGCCAATGATGCGCTATGATTTTCATTTGCCCCGGCAGAGTGTTGCCCCTGAACATGCTCAGATAATTGTTGATGAATATCTGAAGGATATTGAAGACCCCATACAACTCCGAGACCAACTTCTTGATATGCTAGGAGATGTGGTCTTTGTCGCTCCCGCTATTCAAACAGCGAGATACCACAGAGGTGAGCTTATATCACAACAACTTGGTTTGGGAATGGTTCCCATGAGATCCACATGTGCAGGGTTGGCTCACAGACATACCTCTCTGCCAAGATGTGGCCTTGGAAATCCAACTGCTCAGCAGACAGTCCATCCTTCAAACAATGGTCTGGGGAAAATCTGGTGGCTGCAGTGGGATCCAACACAGAATCACCTATTGCCTAATACAGTAAAACTTATTGGGTCACTGGGGGCAAGTCACTCTTTCTCATCCTAGTCGACTTCATGGAGTCGTTGAGAGGATAAAGTGGAGGAGGGGGGTTCCTACTGGGGTATAAATATCTAAATCAATAAAGACAAGATCAGGAGTGAACGCATGGCAATCTGTGCAAGAGTCCAAAAGCGCAGCTGAGAGGTCAGGCGATGGGAAACTGCTGGGTCAGCTGGATGACCAACCGGAACGTTGGCATCGCCAAGGAGAAAGTTGGGGCTGTGGTCAGAGAGGAATAAGATAAGCCAGGTAGGCTGAATTAAAGTTTGTGGGGAAGAAGCAATATAGCTGCCGAGGGGAGTAAAGACCTATTGGGTTTATTTTGAAGCATCAATATGGAGGTGAGGGCAGGGCCTGGAAGGGGCAGTATTTGGAGAGTAGATGGTCATGCCAGTAGTCTTCAGGGTGAAGTATGTGGGACACACAGAGCCCTCTGATGTGTCGGATGAGGAGAGCCAGGTTTTAGGAAGGCCAAGGATTTATTTTTGGGAATCTGCTGCCTCTCCAGAGACCTGCCTAAAAACAATACTATAAGACAACCAAGTTAAAATAAATAAAGTAGCCAGGGGGGCTGAGAGGAAAAGGTCATGGAGGGTGTCTGCTCTCTAGGTGAAGGATGGGGAGTTCCAGAAGAGAAGGGAGAAGCAACAGACAGGGATGAGACTGTGCCCCATTTGGGTAGAATCCAGTTGCAATGACAGAATCTTCTTCCCTTGTTCAGATGCTGGCTATCCAACCTACGTGTATGAATTCCAGCATCGGCCGAGTTTCCATGGAGCTCTTAAGCCAGACTTTGTTAAAGCGGATCATGGTGATGAAATCGGCTTTGTCTTTGGGAGGCCCTTTTTAGCAGGTGAGTTGGTGTGGTGTGCTGGCTAGAGCGTTATAGACCTGGATCTGGACCAGATATCTGCTCTGCCATGAAGCTCATTGGACATCCTTGAGCTATTTCTTTTAGAAAGGGCCCCATGGCAATGGTTGTGATTGTAAGTATTGTAATTTGTGCACAGAAATAAGAGATAGAAATGCCTTGTTGACTCCTTTTTATAGCACCATAGCCACTATACAAGATGTACATAGGGATCTTACACACATAAAAGTTCTGCTGGATGGTGAGAATTTGGCTTTTTTGCTCACGCATCTTAAGAACATAAGAACATAAGAGATGCCAATGTTGGATCAGGCCAAAGGCCCATCCAGTCCAACACTCTGTATCCCACAGTGGCCAGAAATACCAGTGCCATCAGGAGGTCCACCAGTGGGGCCAGGACATTAGAAGCCCTCCCACTGTTGACCCCCCCCCCAAGCACCAAGATGACAGAGCATCACTTGCCCCAGAGCCCCTATCTATACCTTGTGGCTAATAGCCACTGATGGACCTCTGCTCCATATGCTTATCTAATTCCCTCTTGAATGTTCCTGCTCAGAGCTCAGCTGGGTCTCCTCTGCCTCTGGCCAGGTGTTTCCTTAAATAGAGGCCTCCCCCAGCAGAGTGCTGGCAGCAGCTATTCAAATGCACCCAGGCACTCAATCACATGCAAAACAATGCCCCTTCCTTTTCCTCTCAATTGCAGTCAATCACAGTCAAACAATGCCCTTTCCTCTCTCAAGCAGCCAGGAATCTGCAAAAACTCCAAGCGCTTCCACACACTCCCAGACCAGTTCTCCCACCAAAATCCTCAGCTGGATCCTCTCCGCTGAAAGCAAATAAAAAACCACTCACCCTTCTGTCTCCTGCTCCTGTTCCTGCTCAGAGCTCAGCTGGGTCTCCTCTGCCTCTGGCCAGGTGTTTCCTTAAATAGAGGCCTCCCCCAGCAGAGTGCTGGCAGCAGCTATTCAAATGCACCCAGGCACTCAATCACATGCAAAACAATGCCCCTTCCTTTTCCTCTCAATTGCAGTCAATCACAGTCAAACAATGCCCTTTCCTCTCTCAAGCAGCCAGGAATCTGCAAAAACTCCAAGCGCTTCCACACACTCCCAGACCAGTTCTCCCACCAAAATCCTCAGCTGGATCCTCTCCGCTGAAAGCAAATAAAAAACCACTCACCCTTCTGTCTCCTGCTCCTGTTCCTGCTCAGAGCTCAGCTGGGTCTCCTCTGCCTCTGGCCAGGTGTTTCCTTAAATAGAGGCCTCCCCCAGCAGAGTGCTGGCAGCAGCTATTCAAATGCACCCAGGCACTCAATCACATGCAAAACAATGCCCCTTCCTTTTCCTCTCAATTGCAGTCAATCACAGTCAAACAATGCCCTTTCCTCTCTCAAGCAGCCAGGAATCTGCAAAAACTCCAAGCGCTTCCACACACTCCCAGACCAGTTCTCCCACCAAAATCCTCAGCTGGATCCTCTCCGCTGAAAGCAAATAAAAAACCACTCACCCTTCTGTCTCCTGCTCCTGTTCCTGCTCAGAGCTCAGCTGGGTCTCCTCTGCCTCTGGCCAGGTGTTTCCTTAAATAGAGGCCTCCCCCAGCAGAGTGCTGGCAGCAGCTATTCAAATGCACCCAGGCACTCAATCACATGCAAAACAATGCCCCTTCCTTTTCCTCTCAATTGCAGTCAATCACAGTCAAACAATGCCCTTTCCTCTCTCAAGCAGCCAGGAATCTGCAAAAACTCCAAGCGCTTCCACACACTCCCAGACCAGTTCTCCCACCAAAATCCTCAGCTGGATCCTCTCCGCTGAAAGCAAATAAAAAACCACTCACCCTTCTGTCTCCTGCTCCTGTTCCTGCTCAGAGCTCAGCTGGGTCTCCTCTGCCTCTGGCCAGGTGTTTCCTTAAATAGAGGCCTCCCCCAGCAGAGTGCTGGCAGCAGCTATTCAAATGCACCCAGGCACTCAATCACATGCAAAACAATGCCCCTTCCTTTTCCTCTCAATTGCAGTCAATCACAGTCAAACAATGCCCTTTCCTCTCTCAAGCAGCCAGGAATCTGCAAAAACTCCAAGCGCTTCCACACACTCCCAGACCAGTTCTCCCACCAAAATCCTCAGCTGGATCCTCTCCGCTGAAAGCAAATAAAAAACCACTCACCCTTCTGTCTCCTGCTCCTGTTCCTGCTCAGAGCTCAGCTGGGTCTCCTCTGCCTCTGGCCAGGTGTTTCCTTAAATAGAGGCCTCCCCCAGCAGAGTGCTGGCAGCAGCTATTCAAATGCACCCAGGCACTCAATCACATGCAAAACAATGCCCCTTCCTTTTCCTCTCAATTGCAGTCAATCACAGTCAAACAATGCCCTTTCCTCTCTCAAGCAGCCAGGAATCTGCAAAAACTCCAAGCGCTTCCACACACTCCCAGACCAGTTCTCCCACCAAAATCCTCAGCTGGATCCTCTCCGCTGAAAGCAAATAAAAAACCACTCACCCTTCTGTCTCCTGCTCCTGTTCCTGCTCAGAGCTCAGCTGGGTCTCCTCTGCCTCTGGCCAGGTGTTTCCTTAAATAGAGGCCTCCCCCAGCAGAGTGCTGGCAGCAGCTATTCAAATGCACCCAGGCACTCAATCACATGCAAAACAATGCCCCTTCCTTTTCCTCTCAATTGCAGTCAATCACAGTCAAACAATGCCCTTTCCTCTCTCAAGCAGCCAGGAATCTGCAAAAACTCCAAGCGCTTCCACACACTCCCAGACCAGTTCTCCCACCAAAATCCTCAGCTGGATCCTCTCCGCTGAAAGCAAATAAAAAACCACTCACCCTTCTGTCTCCTGCTCCTGTTCCTGCTCAGAGCTCAGCTGGGTCTCCTCTGCCTCTGGCCAGGTGTTTCCTTAAATAGAGGCCTCCCCCAGCAGAGTGCTGGCAGCAGCTATTCAAATGCACCCAGGCACTCAATCACATGCAAAACAATGCCCCTTCCTTTTCCTCTCAATTGCAGTCAATCACAGTCAAACAATGCCCTTTCCTCTCTCAAGCAGCCAGGAATCTGCAAAAACTCCAAGCGCTTCCACACACTCCCAGACCAGTTCTCCCACCAAAATCCTCAGCTGGATCCTCTCCGCTGAAAGCAAATAAAAAACCACTCACCCTTCTGTCTCCTGCTCCTGTTCCTGCTCAGAGCTCAGCTGGGTCTCCTCTGCCTCTGGCCAGGTGTTTCCTTAAATAGAGGCCTCCCCCAGCAGAGTGCTGGCAGCAGCTATTCAAATGCACCCAGGCACTCAATCACATGCAAAACAATGCCCCTTCCTTTTCCTCTCAATTGCAGTCAATCACAGTCAAACAATGCCCTTTCCTCTCTCAAGCAGCCAGGAATCTGCAAAAACTCCAAGCGCTTCCACACACTCCCAGACCAGTTCTCCCACCAAAATCCTCAGCTGGATCCTCTCCGCTGAAAGCAAATAAAAAACCACTCACCCTTCTGTCTCCTGCTCCTGTTCCTGCTCAGAGCTCAGCTGGGTCTCCTCTGCCTCTGGCCAGGTGTTTCCTTAAATAGAGGCCTCCCCCAGCAGAGTGCTGGCAGCAGCTATTCAAATGCACCCAGGCACTCAATCACATGCAAAACAATGCCCCTTCCTTTTCCTCTCAATTGCAGTCAATCACAGTCAAACAATGCCCTTTCCTCTCTCAAGCAGCCAGGAATCTGCAAAAACTCCAAGCGCTTCCACACACTCCCAGACCAGTTCTCCCACCAAAATCCTCAGCTGGATCCTCTCCGCTGAAAGCAAATAAAAAACCACTCACCCTTCTGTCTCCTGCTCCTGTTCCTGCTCAGAGCTCAGCTGGGTCTCCTCTGCCTCTGGCCAGGTGTTTCCTTAAATAGAGGCCTCCCCCAGCAGAGTGCTGGCAGCAGCTATTCAAATGCACCCAGGCACTCAATCACATGCAAAACAATGCCCCTTCCTTTTCCTCTCAATTGCAGTCAATCACAGTCAAACAATGCCCTTTCCTCTCTCAAGCAGCCAGGAATCTGCAAAAACTCCAAGCGCTTCCACACACTCCCAGACCAGTTCTCCCACCAAAATCCTCAGCTGGATCCTCTCCGCTGAAAGCAAATAAAAAACCACTCACCCTTCTGTCTCCTGCTCCTGTTCCTGCTCAGAGCTCAGCTGGGTCTCCTCTGCCTCTGGCCAGGTGTTTCCTTAAATAGAGGCCTCCCCCAGCAGAGTGCTGGCAGCAGCTATTCAAATGCACCCAGGCACTCAATCACATGCAAAACAATGCCCCTTCCTTTTCCTCTCAATTGCAGTCAATCACAGTCAAACAATGCCCTTTCCTCTCTCAAGCAGCCAGGAATCTGCAAAAACTCCAAGCGCTTCCACACACTCCCAGACCAGTTCTCCCACCAAAATCCTCAGCTGGATCCTCTCCGCTGAAAGCAAATAAAAAACCACTCACCCCTCTGTCTCCTGCTCCTGCTCCTGCTCAGAGCTCAGCTGGGTCTCCTCTGCCTCTGGCCAGGTGTTTCCTTAAATAGAGGCCTCCCCCAGCAGAGGGCTGGCAGCAGCTATTCAAATGCACCCAGGCACTCAATCACATGCAAAACAATGCCCCTTCCTTTTCCTCTCAATTGCAGTCAATCACAGTCAAACAATGCCCTTTCCTCTCCTTCTCTCAAGCAGCCAGGAATCTGCAAAAACTCCAAGCGCTTCCCCACACTCCCAGACCAGTTCTCCCACCAAAATCCTCAGCTAAATCCTCTCAGCTGAAAGCAAGTAAAAAACCACTCACCCCTCTGTCTCCTGCTCCTGCTCAGAGCTCAGCTGGGTCTCCCATCTTGAGAGGTCTGTGCTCACTTACATGCAGGTTGTTTGCCCCAGCTTTAATGTTAAAGGGAGCAAGCCATTTTCCCTTTCCCCCACAGCATTTTGGTGCTTCTGTGCACTTCTTGGATTTCTTTCCCAAACCCTCTTTGTTGTAATGATTTGAGAATGATTGTAGCAAAGCCGGGGTGGCACCCCTGTGGACTGGACAGTCTCTGGACCTTCCTGATCCTGTGCCCTTTGGCACCATTTTTCCTACCCCTGTAGCGGCCATTCTTAATACCACTGGAGGGCTTTTTTGTTTGGTGCTTTAATCTGCAAATGATACATAATTATACTGTTATAACAATACTAGCAGTAAAGCCCGTTGTGAAAGCAATACAATGGGATCTAGAAAGAGGCTCTGGGGCAGTGCTCTGGCTTTGGGCAAACAGTGTCAATTTGCTGTGGTGACCTCAGCAGGGTATAATGACAGAGTCCACTGTTTTCTCCAGAGGAACTGATCTCGGCTACCTGAAGAGCAGTTGTAATTGTGAGTAATCTGTAGCCCTCACCTGGAGATTGGCAACAATTGTTACCCAGGACAAAATGGCTGGTTTGGAGGGTGGAGTCTATGGCATTCTACCTGTCTGAGGTCCCACCTTTCTGCAAACCCCACCCTCTCCAGGCTCCACCCCTCAAATCCCCAGGAATTTGTCAGCATGTAGTTGGCAACCCCATCTCCTTCCCAGCTAGCCATCAACCTACCATTATCTGCCCCTTTGACTTCAGCTGACTTCTGCCCTCCCTTCTGCAGAGCAGTTGTAATTCTGAGTGCTCTCCAGCCCTCACCTGGAGATTGGCAACAATGGTTCCCTATGTGAGACTGACTGGTTTGGAGGGTGGAGTCTATGGCAGTGTACCTGTCTGAGGTCCCACCCCTCCTCAAACCTCACCCTCTTCAGGCTCCATCCCTCAAGTCTCCAGGAATTTCCCATCTGGAGTTGGCAACCCTATCAGGATTGGCCCCAATGTGTTTTCTCCCAAAGGCCAAAGTAGGTGACAGGACCAAGCTTAGTTGCCTACCAACAGGCACTGAGGGGAATGTAGGGTTGCCAGCTCTAAGGAGGGAAATACCTGGAGGTTTTGGGGGTGGATTCTGTAGAGGGCCGGGCGACGGAGGCATCGGCCTTCTGTCGCCCGCCTTGCCCCCCCAATCTCGGCCCGGGCGAC